CCTGGAACCCTTTGACATGGTATAGAAAAACTTTGGAACCCCAACAAAAAAAAATTTCAAATTATTTTGCTCAACTGATCAGGTCCAAAACTGCAGCTTACGAGACAGTGAACATATTTTCTCTTGCATTAAATATATTAGTGTTTGGAGTGATAAACGTCATTTAATTTTGTGAATATGTCTGCAAGATATGCTACTTTGGATAACCACAGAGTGCTTGTAAATCGATCAGATAATCCAAATTTATGATCCTGGAAATATGCAAACAACTCTTGACGCAATTCAAACATTCTAATAAGGACTTTACCTGGTGATAGCCAACGGACTTCTGAATGCAAAAGCAGAGCAGAGTGGTGGCTACCCATATCTTTACATATATTACTTTAAATAGTCGTGACTGTAATGGTTGACTTTTTATAAAATTAATAATCTGGACCTATTTGTCTAGCACAATTTTAAGTGAGATTGAAATATTTTTCGCTACCAGTGCATGTCTGTGTAGTGGCGTCGCTAGGGGGGGGCCAGAGGGGGCCATGGCCCCCCCTACATCATGCTGTGCCCCCCCTTGGGCCCCCCCAAATGCCAGCAACTTGCTGGCCATGGGCTTCCCTCAGACAGCCCGAGGGAATGCAGGAGAGAGGTGCTGGGGGCGGTCTGTGGCCGGAGGGAGCACTGATTGACTCCCCAGCACAGGCCCCGCCCCCAAATGAAGCCCCACCTCCCACCGATAAGCCCCACCCCCGCCGTAATGCAGCAGCCCATGCTGCTTCAGAAGATGGCTGCCTGACCCCCAGTGACAGCCTCCAGTGACAGGTAGGCTGGGGGGGGGGTGTACACACACACATTGCCCCCATACACACACATTGCCCCCATACACACATACTGCCCCCCCATACACACACACTGCCCCCCATACAGCCTCCCATACACACACACTGTCCCCCATACAGCCTCCCATACACACACACTGTCCCCCCATACACACACATTGCCCCCATACTGCTCCCCATATACACACACTGCCCCCTATACAGCCTCCCATCAGTGGCGGATCCAGAGCCTGATCTCGGGAGGGGCACTTGTAGATTATTTAATTAAATAATCCAGGCACAATAACCACTACAGCTCAGTGTAGTAGTTATGGTGTCAGTAGTGCCAGGATTCCACCCCAGAGTAAGTAGTCATACCGTTTAAAAACAGTTTGACAACTTATCTGGGGTCTGCTGGGATATAGGGTATAGGAGCAGTGGTGTGTGTTAAGGGTGAAGTGTGTGAGTGCGGCAGTGTATGTCAGGGTTGTAGTGTGTGTGTTAGGGGGCAGTGTATGTATGGGGGCACTGTATGTGTTTTTGGGGCAGTGTGCGTATGGGGGACAGTGTGTGTATGGGGACAGTGTTTGTGGGGCAGTGTGTGTGTATGGGGACAGTGTTTGTGGGGCAGTGTGTGTATGGGGCAGTGTTTGTGGGGCAGTGTGTGTATGGGGACAGTGTTTGTGGGGCAGTGTGTGTATGGGGACAGTGTTTGTGGGGCAGTGTGTGTATGGGGGGCAGTATGTGTGTATGGGGAGAGTGTTTGTGGGGCAGTGTGTGTATGGGGGGCAGTGTTTGTGGGGCAGTGTGTGTTTGGGGGACAGTGTGTGTATGGGGGGCAGTGTTTGTGGGGCAGTGTGTGTATGGGGACAGTGTTTGTGGGGCAGTGTGTGTATGGGGAGTGTGTTTGTGGGGCAGAATATTTATTTTAAAAATGTATTATAAAAAAGCCTCCCCCCCCCCCATTACACATACTGCCCCACAAACACTATCCCCATACACACACACTGCCCCCCTGTAATGGGGCAGTGTGTGTAATGGGGGGGGGGGAGGCTTTTTAATAATAATTAATAAAAAAAAATTAAAAATTTAATAAAATAAATATGTCCCCCCTCCCTTCTTACCTTTATTGAGCAGGAGGGGGGACATTTCTCCGTCCCTGGTGGTCCCAGTGGTGATTCCCTGGTGGTCAGGTGGTCAGAGTGAACTCTAGCCCACGCTCCCAGGCTAGAGTTCACTCTCGCGAGATTTGGAGCGTTGCCGTGGTAACCGCGGCAACGTTTTAAATCCCGCGAGATGAGGACCCGGAGGAGCTGCAGACTGAGCTCCAGGTCCTCTCTCTCACTCCCTCCCTCCACCGCCGGCCGCCAGCACAGTGCCTGCGGACCGGGGAGGGAGAGCTCTGATCTCCCCTCCGGTCCGCAGGCACATTGCAGGGCTGGCACTTGGGCAATGCCAGCCCTGCGTTAGCCAGCAGGGGGGAATCTCGGGGGGGGCAATTGCCCCGTTGCCCCCCCCCTGGATCCGCCAATGGTGCTGTAGTGGTTATGGTGCCAGGAGTACCGTGGTGCCCTCCCAGAGTAAGTAGTCAAACTGTTTAAAAACAGTTTGACAACTTACCTGGGGTCTGCTGGGAGAGGGGCTTTAGTAGTGTATAGGGGCAATGGTGTGTGTGAGGGGAGCAATGTATGTGTGTTAGAGGTGAGCACTGTGTGTGTGGGGGGATGCAGAGTGTGTACGGGGGTGCATTGTGTTTGTGAAGGATGTAGTATGTGTGTTAAAGGGGTGCATTGTGTCTGTGTGTTTGAAGGGTTCAGTGTGTGCGTGAGGAATACAGTGTGTGCGTGTGGGGGCAGAATGTGCCTGGGGACAATGTGATTGAGGGGTACAGTGCGTGTGTATAGGGGCAATGTGTGTAAGGCGTACAGTGTTTGTGTAAGGGGGCAGTGTGTGTGTGTGCATGGGGCAGTATGTGTGAGGGGTACAGTGTGTGTGTGAGGGGAGCATTGTGTGTGTATAGAGGGGCAGTGTGTGTATAGGGGCAGTTTGTATTGGGGCAGTGTGTGTGTATGGGGGGCAGTGTGTGTATGTGTATGGGGGCAGTGTGTGTGTGTATATGGAGGCAGTGTGTGTATAGGGGGAAGGGTAGGAGGGTAGATTAATAAATATATATATATATTTTTTATTCATTAAAAAATACAATTATTTT